CCATTTCATTTGTAAATAGAGCATTTTGCTAGTTGAACATTGTCAATTTCTAATTTGGAAGAAAATGTGGTGTGCTTTGTTTTATCCCACATCCATTGACTTATCCGGGGCCTTGCATGCATTTCAGTGATGGACATGCCTTCAATGGAGGCCAACAGCAAGTGAAGCAGGACAAGTAAACATTGCAGAGAGGGGACGAGACAGCCACTGGAAAAGTACCACAAAGGTCAGCCCAGTTTTAGACTTGTAAGGAGGAAGAATCGGTTATTTGGATTTTAAATTAGGAGATGCCTCATTTGAGGGCCTCAAACACCTGCAGATTCCAGTGATGATATATGTGTGGGGGAGAACGTGACTTGCCTCTCGGCCAATGAGAGGGAACATCAGGTGTGGAGGGAAAATAGAGAGGCGGAGCAAAGAAGAACAAAGGTGAATTTGAAACATGGCAGCGGGCACCGGCAGCCAGAGAAGTTTGGTGCAGTAAAGTAAAATATGTTTTGCAAGTAAACTTGTTTTAAGCAAAGTTCGGGTGTTACGACAAAGTTAACAATACCCTGCCACCTGACTTCACCAAAGGCAGCACTGCTTTAAGGAGTCCTTTAACACCTTAAAGACTGAACTTTTGTGCAACTACTGAGCAGAGTCTCACGGAACGGATAAACGGTATTTGATTTCAAGGAACTGTGCTTAGCGTTATTGGACATTCAGGACACCGTGACGTTATTGCCTGCATTGCTTTACTGTATTTTTGCAATGCATTTGTATGCCTAGACTAACGGTAACCTTGATTTCATTTATGTGGTGGTAGCCTTCCTCTTTGGTAGCCCTAGTGAGTAAATTAAGGTTGGCTTACCAAAGTTTATACATTTCAAACGAGGTTAACTGTTAAATTATCCAGTATTTCAATTAGTATGATCCCGGACATATTTGATAGCTTTGAGTTTACCATTTCAAAATAGGAGTTTGGGTTCATAAGGAACTGAGTGTCCCTCTGAAGGCTATTTGGTGACATAATTTTAAATTAATTTCTCAAGACAAATTTTTATTTTATTGTTCTATTTCATTTAAGGATTTTTTTTTTATTTCAGTTACATTTACCAGTCTCTGAGCTCGAATAAAATATAGTTGTTTATTCAAACTGGTTTTCTATTCTAAGTTGTGGGGTGGGAAACATGCACATATCACACTACCACACACTCCCATAGGCACATACCTCAAGTAACTCCTACTTTCCCTAAGCTACTACCCGAGGTAGTATTAAGTAATAAATAGACAAGATAGTAATACTCATGTAAGCTCAGGTGCTTACATATGTATGAATTTTAATAATAAAAAGCTTTTCCTCATGAATCATAGCCCGTTATTCAGATAATGTTGGTGTGGTGAGATTTGGAGATGTGCATTAATTCATGTCACAATGCACCATACGTCTTAACCCTTGTGTGGTGTTCATATTGTTGTTCCTCAGCCAGTGTTCATGGGTCTGACGGACCCGTTGCATTTTGTAGCTTTTAATGCCTCAAAATCACTTTTATATTAAAACACTTTTACATTAAAATACTGAACAGATGTTTACCTCATCTTAACTTCTCTCTCTCTCATCCAAAATCAATTCCAGGGCCCTCTGGGCAGAGAACCTTTTGGCCCTCTTGATCGGTTATAAGAAACCACTCTGGCAAAGCTGTGCCAGTGTGGTCCCGCCCCCAATTTTAGCAGATAGACAGAGGGTGAAATGTGTGAGAAAATTAGAGCAGACAAACAATGTATGGGAACCGTTTCTTTTGTGTTTGTGCACCTGGGGTTCCCACACAAGGTTGCAACATTGTGAATGAGTTTGGGTGTCTGTGTGTGGTTCACAGAACATAAATTTCCACACTTCTTTCAACCCCGGGTCCAGTGGACCCGAACATCTTGTATGTAATAGAAATGTGTAGGGGGGGTGTACGGTGTGTGGGCATTAAATACGAATTCTGATATACACTATATTGCCAAAAGTATTTGCTCACCCATCCAAATTATCGAAATCAGGTGTTCCAATCACTTCCATGGCCACAGGTGTATAAATTCAAGCACCTAGGCATGCAGACTGTTTTTACAAACATTTGTGAAAGAATGGGTCGCTCTCAGGAGCTCAGTGAATTCCAGCGTGGAACTGTGATAGGATGCCACCTGTGCAACAAATCCAGTCGTGAAATTTCCTCGCTCCTAAATATTCCACAGTCAACTGTCAGCTGTATTATAAGAAAATGGAAGTGTTTGGGAACGACAGCAACTCAGCCACGAAGTGGTAGGCCACGTAAACTGACGGAGCGGGGTCAGCGGATGCTGACGCGCATAGTGCGAAGAGGTCGCCAACTTTCTGCAGAGTCAATCACTACAGACCTCCAAACTTCATGTGGCCTTCAGATTAGCTCAAGAACAGTGCGCAGAGAGCTTCATGGAATGGGTTTCCATGGTCGAGCAGCTGCATCCAAGCCATACATCACCAAGTGCAATGCAAAGCGTCGGATGCGGTGGTGTAAAGCACGCCGCCACTGGACTCTAGAGCAGTGGAGACGCGTTCTCTGGAGTGACGAATCGCGCTTCTCCATCTGGCAATCTGATGGACGGGTCTGGGTTTGGCGGTTGCCAGGAGAACGGTACTTGTCTGACTGCATTGTGCCAAGTGTAAAGTTTGGTGGAGGGGGGATTATGGTGTGGGGTTGTTTTTCAGGAGCTGGGCTTGGCCCCTTAGTTCCAGTGAAAGGAACTCTGAATGCTTCAGCATACCAAGACATTTTGGACAATTCCATGCTCCCAACTTTGTGGGAACAGTTTGGAGCTGGCCCCTTCCTCTTCCAACATGACTGTGCACCAGTGCACAAAGCAAGGTCCATAAAGACATGGATGACAGAGTCTGGTGTGGATGAACTTGACTGGCCTGCACAGAGTCCTGACCTCAACCCGATAGAACACCTTTGGGATGAATTAGAGCGGAGACTGAGAGCCAGGCCTTCTCGTCCAACATCAGTGTGCGACCTCACAAATGCGCTTCTGGAAGAATGGTCAAAAATTCCCATAAACACACTCCTAAACCTTGTGGACAGCCTTCCCAGAAGAGTTGAAGCTGTTCTAGCTGCAAAGGGTGGACCGACGTCATATTGAACCCTATGGATTAGGAACGGGATGTCACTTAAGCTCATATGTGAGTCAAGGCAGGTGAGCAAATACTTTTGGCAATATAGTGTATGTTCTTCACAGAAAATGAGCCAAAGCCAGTGAGTCTGTTTGAAAAATTAATTCATGGTATCATTTTTCTTTTAGTAAAAAATGAAAACGGGTCCCACAGACCCGAACACCACACAAGGGTTAACTTACTTTTTGCTAAATCTGCATGCTTATTGTGTAGACGCAAGATACATATTCAATAAGAATCTTTGTCTCTAAAAAAAAAAAGAGTAAAACACACTACCACACCCCATCCTTCTGATGCACGCACTCATCATCCAATAAGTTAAAGTGTGAACAATATGAACCATCCCCAGGAGATGATAAATGGATTGCAAACTACTTTGAACTGTATAATTATAGTGATCACACATGGCACAAATTTTCTCCTGATATGGTAACTTTACTGTTACACAGTTTTTGCTCAGCTGGTATGGACATACCACACCAATAAATATGCATTCCTTCTCCTCTCTTGTTTAAAGATTAACGGTATATTTTTATGCACTCAAAGCTGACACAACTGTGTCTACCTTTGTCGGTCAGCGGTATGTTTGTACAGTTTGACTTACAGTTTGATGTTGGGTTGGTGTACGAAACAAGACTTTTGGAAGTAAAATTAAACAATGTTAATCCAAAACTTGTGAGTTTGATGAAAGACATAACAGGACCAGTTTTAAGCCAGTCTTCTTGTCAAGTGATAACTATAGTGCGCTGTGGTCTTCGGACATGGGAAGCCAACGGGACTGGTCTTTTTTTCATGAAGTAATCTTGATATGGGGATTTTACATGGAAGTGTAATTTTTCTCTTTGATAAGTCTGATCCAGGAACCGGTGCCTCAAGTAAATCTATTGTCCAGGTACAAGCTTCCACTGCAACACCCATTCACGTTTCATAGGTTACTGGCCGATGAGACTTCGCAAAACTTCAGTCTATTTTTACACGGTTCTGTCATCCCAAGACGATTATCTCTGAATGACTCTGGACGTCTAAGGTCCTGCAGAGATATCTCATTCTGAACCCAGCACTACAATACTTTACATGTGAATAAATTACACATGCATGCAGTAACAAATTATTTGGTTCGTTCTTAGGCTTCTAACGACAGAATCGGGTAAATATTTATAGTAAATGGATTATCTTCTCTTTACTAATAGCTTACTTTTCTTTCCACAACCACAGTATATTTTGCGCATTAATATGTAACCCAGGTGTTACGGAGAGTGTGTTTGTTGTTGTTAAAAAGGAACGTATTCTGTTAAAACATCAGGGTTAAAAATGTTAAAATATCATAAGTCATAACTTCTCTATGATACAGTTTGTTTATTTTCATTTGCTATGCAGTTAAATATGTTGCAGAGATTTATTATACCTGTATTTCATTTAAAAGAGCAAGAAACAGGTCGAAATTGTTGTAGGTGGCGCTGTGTAAGACTGTGTGTATGAGTTACAACTATCATGCATGCCAGAGGGATATTTCATTGGTTGGAAATACCCCGGAAGAACTGGGGAGAGGGTGGAGTTAAGCACGCAGGAGACGGAAAAAAGGAGAGACTCCATTTTTTCCTCGGCGTGGGCAGTCCTGTTCGTCTCGGCTAGGTGAGGATATACGGGTTTAGTAACAGAGACCGTTTGCTCAGAGAGAATAAGAACGGTGGCGGAGAGCTACTGCAGTTGCTGTCTGCCCTGCAGGGCGTTGTGCATGGAGTGTTAGTTCGGAGTTTACATGTTCGCCGAGTGAATAAGCCTCGGTGCAGCGCGGGGCAGGCCCCGAAAAGTTAGCTACTTCCCAATGGTGCTCATCGCTACTCAGGTTAGCGCCCTGGTTTCCGGACAGCCAGTGGTTCCCCTGACGTAGCCGGCGTGGGAGCAACGCGGCCTGGATAGCGCCCTGGTGGCCAGGAAAGCCAGAGGCTCCTCCAGCGACGAGGGAGGGACTTCTCCAGCCACCCAGTCGGACACCTTGTGCCGCTCGGACACAGTTTTTTTTCGTTTCACTGGAAGAATGGGACTACGGTACCGTGAGTAAAAGACATTTGGACCAGGACTATTTCTACAGTTAACAGGCCTGCAACGATTTATTTTGGGGTATTTTCTTTTATGTGCCGGCTATTTTGTTTAGTACCTGCGCAGGTGTTTTGAAGCTTTTGTTTTAGTGTGCACACGGGGGTCTGTCATTTGCAAATGTCATATGCCCCTAGTGGCGAATAAAGTGCTTTCTTTACTGTGGGGAAATTATCTTTTATGTTACTCTGTGTGTTTAAAATAAATGTTTTAATTTGAAATATATATATATATGCCTGAAAGTTTGACCACTCACTGAATAGGTCATTACGAGGTAAAGCTACAGGGAGAACCCACCACCATTAGGTGATCATAGGACATGATTTGGGTTACAAATATGATGCATTCATTATATGACTCTCATCTTCTCCAACTTGATATAATAATTCTTGATGCATAAATGTTTTCTAGCACAGTGTTCTCTGTGAAACCCTTAGAGGCAGAAACCTAAAAAATAATGATATAAATTAAAACTTAATTATTGTTAAATATATCTTATCTGATAAAAGCTAAAGATAATACATACAGGAGGTTCACAACACACCAATGACTGATATTTCTAAAGAAATATTTTCAGGGAAGTCATAACAGAATTAACTTTTGTTACATGAAATGAGTGGAATAGTATGCTACATATGGAGTAGATCAAATTAAAAAAGAAATCTACAACAACTCAACTGAGTTGTTGAACTTCATTAACATTGTAGATTTTACTTAGCTGTTGCCCCTTGTTTGATTTAAATGTAAACGCCAGCACAAAGTCGACAGTATTCTTTTTCATAATATTCACTCGATGTCTCGCTATGGGATGCAGCCTCCTGCAGCCCTTGGAGAAGCATTTATCTCAATCCGCCAATCTTGATTGGCCGGTGAAGGTGTTCGTCGACGCCACGCCCAGTAGCCCCATCTACTAAAGCGTGTACATATCACCTCAATTCAAACCCTCATCTCACCTGAGAGCTTTTCTCACGTCAGAGCCTTGCCTTGCTAGCTTAACTGTTCACAGTCGAACCTTGCTAGCTTCCGTCACCGGACGCTAGCACTGTGCTCTGACTTCTGCCCTATCTGTTCACTCCAGACCGGACCGGTATAATTTAATTCCGTTCACTCCACGGCGGAATCCCTCTCGGCTCCCCTCCGCGGACGCTCGAGTTGGTCGAGTAATTGGCACACCAGCGTCTTTCTTGACCCCACCACGCTAACACGCCAGCTAGCCACGGTCCCTTTCCCTACCAGCACTCCAGCACTCTGTCGTCTCTGTGGTTGCGGGAATAAAATTTCAGGGAAAGACAGCCACCCGGTGTGCAGTACCTGTTTGGGGGTTGACCAAGTCAGGTTAGCCCTCGAAATTCCTGGGTCCTGTGGGTACTGCAAAGTGTTCACGGTCAAGAGCCTCAGACGCAGGCTAGCCCGCCAGGTTAGCATCTCAGACCGTGACCCATTTCTCACCACCGCTGTCCAAGGGGCAGCCGCAGAGGAGGAGGAGGACATGGCTGGGGAGGTCCCAGGGACTGGCTACGACTGGGGTACCCAGTGCGAGCAGCTCTGTGTCCCCCCGTTTCTCGAGTAAGATGTGCTGGATGTCAGCCTCATGGAGGATGAGGAAGAGGAATACACCTTCATGGCCCCAGCCCAGGCTGAAAAGCCGAAGCTACCCGAGCTCTTCCACCAGGGGACCACCAAGACAGGGGAGCGTACTCATCAGCTCCCTCCCTCCATTTTGACCTGCTCGACATGTGCAAACGTGCGGCAGAGAAACTGGAGGTCCCCTGGCCGATTGCAGTAGTGGAGCCCACCTGGTCCCGCTACGAAGGCAAACGGCTTCCCTTGGCGCGGAACGTGGTGAAGCAGCTTCTCCCTGTCTTCCCCGAGTTGATGACTGAGCTGTCCAGGACATGGACTAACTGCCCATACAGCAACAGGAGCCCGATTTCAGGCGCAGCATCCCTCAATTACGAGGCGATGGACGCCCATGGTCTCCTCTCTATGCCTCCGGTGGAAGTCCCGGTAGCTGCGCTTCTCTGCCCAGGCAGCACGAGCCAGCTATCTGCGGCTTCCCCGCGGCGCTCGACGCTGCCAGCTAAGCCCGAGCAGTTTCAGTCTGCACTGACCGAAAGAGCGTACAAGGCAGCTACCCTTTCGGCCAGAGCTCTCAGCGCCCTCTCCATCTTCACTGCCTACCAGGCAGAGTTGTTTGGCGCATCTGCTGAAGAGCAAGACCCGGACACGAGTGAGGAAATGGTGGTCATCGCCGATTTGTCTCTACGCATCCAGCGTGTCTCGGTCCAGGCCACGGGTAAAGTGATGGCAACCCTTTTCGTCTAGGAGCGAGCGAGATGTCTCAGCCTCGCTAACCTGACCGACTGAGCGGGATGACATACTGGATATGCCGATTGTCCCGGAAGGCATCTTCTGCTCCGTATTGGCCACAATGCAGCAAAGATGCGAGGCAAAGAAGGACAACGAGGCCCTAAAACTTTGTCTCCCTCGGAGGGCCCACGTGCCTTCACCTCCAGTGCAGCGCAAAACTTTTGCACAAGCTACCGCCCGGTCGCCGAGACGGCCAACACCACCTGGCAAGCCCCTCCCGATGAGGAAGGAGCACGGAGCCGGCTTGTATGGTAAATCTACCTCCCCGACCGCTGAGCCGCCGCCCACAGCCATCGCGACCTCGAAGAAAAAGAGAGCGTCCTGACAGCCGCCCTCTTCGGATGGTGCAGCCTGCCGTTCCCTGTTGCGCAGGCCCACCCTTTTGGCTTGTTCGTGTGCGCCCCGTGCCACCGCTGCCCATTCCAGAGCCAGTCCGCGAGGAGAAGTACATTGCCTCGGAGGTTTGCGCTGTTGCACCACGAGCAGAATGTCCACAAGCACACACATAGACACACGTTCAAAGGATGAACGGTGTGAAAATAAAAATAAATCTGTCACAACAAGGCCACGAGTCAAGGGTGCAGATAACAAAAAAAAAAAGCCAAAACAAACAACGCTCCGGCCATTCAGCCCCCTGCAGCCCTGCTCCCGGGATGGGCGTCATCATCCCCTAGGAACAGAGTGACAGGCCCCGTCGTCCTGCGGTGATGCCCGGGGATAATTTCCCAGTTCTACCACAGGGGGGCACGGGGGAGGAGATGCAGTATGCTTTTCCGCTTTCTCTCAAATGGAAACGCTCCACCGTGGGTATTACGCACAATTGCCCTGGGATACAGGCTTTAATTCGCCGATGTCTCTCCCCGTTTTTTCTGCCGTAATACACTCACAGGTAAAATCAGCTCGAGTCTTAAAGGAGGAAATCCTCTCGCTGATAAACAAATGAGCAGTTTCTGTCGTATCTCCCGAACAGAGTCTGTAAGGGTTTTACTCCAGATATTTCCTCCTCCCCAAACGGGGGAGAGGAGGAATCTGCCCTATTCCGGATCTGCGGGCCCTGAACAAATTCCTGCGGAAATACAGGTTCAGGATGCTGACACATGCAGCACTGCTGCGACCGAACAACTGGTTTTCGTCCGCGGATCTGAAAGATGCGTATTTCCACATTCCCATTTACCCCCCTCACAGACAATATCTCTGATTTGCCTTTCAAGGGGTGTGCTACGAATACCGTGTTCTACTGTTCGGTCTATCTCTCAGCCCGGGGGTTTTCATACAGTGCACAGAGGCCGCGGTAGCACCGCTCAGATGCTGAAGGATACGTCTGGCCACATATTTGGACGACTGGCTCCTGTTAGCACAGCCAGAACAGGAAGCCAGGGTTCACACACATATTGTCACATCACAACTGATGGATTTGGGCTTTGTGATAAATATGGAGAAGAGCCACCTATCTCTGACGCAGGAGATATGCTTTCTGGGGCTATCCCTGCGCTCTATGCCGTTCACAGCTCGCCTGTCGGAGGAGAGAGTGATCATGCACGTGCCGGGAGACTTAAGCACAGGTGCGGACCTGCTGTCCAGGGGTGCACCAATGTACGGGGTATGGACGCTGCAGATATGGGCGCGCTAGGGCCGCGCCAAGATGGATCTGTTCGCGTCCAGCGAAAACGCTCGGTGCGAGCTGTTCTTCTCTCTGCGCACTCTGAATACCCCCCTGGTCTTAGATGCACTAGCGCACGCTTGCCCGCACGAGCTGCTCTACGTGTCCCGCTGGCCCTGATACCCCCTACTCGCGCCAGAGTGAGGGCATCCAATCACAAGCTAATCCTGATAGCTCCACACTGGCCAGCACTACACTGGCTGGCGGAGATATTCCAGATGCTGTGCGCCCAGCCTTGGCAGCTGAAGGGACAGTGTTCCACCCGCACCCGGAGCGACTGCAGCTGTGGGCCTGGCCCGTGAGTGGCTCAATTTGACCACTGCTGGGATCCCTCAGAGTGTAGTTATTACTATCCAAAACGCCAGGGCTCCCTCCACTAGGTCTCTATATGGCTCAAAGTGGGGAGTGATTGAGCGGTGGTGTCTTGAACGGGACTACATTCCCTTTCAGTGTTCTGTACCAGTGATTCTGTCATTTTTACAGGACCTGATTGATAAAGGAAAAGCCTTTTCCACGGTTAAGGTCTATCTGGCAGCTATAGCAGCTTGCCATATAGGATTTGGGTACAAATGTCATAGTCCGGGGTTCACTGATCCGCATTGCACGTTCCACTCACCATTCCGCCACTAGAGGCGGCCAGCTGCACATCCCCGGTCTCACCTGACACCTCCCCGCACACCTGACCCAAATTAAGAAGAACCACCTGGCAGTACTTAAGGAGCAGACTGCCAGATCTTCGACGCCTGAGTGTTAGCCAGTAATGGTAACTCCGAGCCGCTTGAGCCTGTCTCTTGTGTTTCCCTGTGAATCTACCTTGAGTGTCTTACCTTCCTGCTCCCTGCCGCCAGGTACCTTTGCCCAGAGGACCTGGACTTCCCCAAGCTGCCCGAGCCTCCCAATCCACCCGAGGACCCGAGCACTGGCGTCACCCCCCCCCGACACCTGTGGGACCCTAGCCGCTCTGTTTCCCCCGCCGGCTTCCCAGCCGTTTCCTGTCAATAAACCCCTTCACCTGATCTTCTGCCTCCTCTGTTGTGTTCTGCATGTGGGCTAGAGCATCCACCCATCATGACAACAAAACGGCGAGCCAACACCCTTTGGTGTGCTGGTTTATAAAGGGCGCACGCAGGCTTCTCCCTGTCTCCAGACCTTTGCTGCTACCGTGGGATTTGGCGGTGGTTATGGAGGGGCTTAAAGGGCCCCCATTTGAGCCATTGTTGGGAACCAGTCTCTTATCTGTCTCTTAAGACAGTGCTGTTACTGGCTCTTGCCTCTGCAAAACGAGTCATGGACATTCATGAGCTCTCTGTGAACTCCGCATGTACCCGGTTCGCCCCGGGGAACAAACGTATGGTTCTGAAGCCCAACCCAGCTTTTGTTCCTAAAGTGGTTGGTTCTTGTTCACCGATGGTGTTTGCGGCGTTCTCTGCTTCTCCCGGTGAGCAGCGAGCGCACACGCTGTGCCCTGTTCGAGCTTTGCGCTCTTATATGGACAGAACACAGAATATCAGGAGGAGTGATCAGCTCTTTGTCTCCTGGGCGGAACCCCGTTAGGGACAGCCGATCACAAAGCAGCGCCTCGCGCACTGGGTGGTAGAGGCTATAGCTTTGGCATATGGAAGCAGGGTCTGCAGCCCCCGGCGGGTTTGCGCGCACACTCTACCCGCGGGATGGCTTTAATTAGGGGAGTGTCCGTTCAGGACATTTGTTCAGCTGCGAGTTGGTCCTCACCTCTGACATTTGTGCGGTTTTACATGCTTGACGTTTCTGGACCGTGCGTGGCCAGTGCGGTCCTAGAGTCATAACTGAACCAATGGACCCCCCCCACCGGCCGGTACTTGTTCGATAAGCTGTCTGGCAATACTGGACCTACCATATCCCATAGCGATACACCGAGTGAATATTATGAAAAAGAACGTTTGGTTATCTAACATAACCCCAGTTCTTAGAATATTATGAGCGAGGTGTTTCGCCAGACAATCCTTCTTGCTGGGTGGTGAGAAGAGGTTTGCTTGTTGAATTGATGTGACGTGATCTGCGCACGCTTTAGGAGACAGGGCTACTGGGCGTGGCGTCGACGAACGCCAGTCAACATTGGCGGATTGATATAAATGCTTCTACCAGGGCTGCAGGAGGCTGCATCCCATAGCAAGACACCTCGCTCGTACTATTCAAGGAACTGGGATTATGTTAGATAACAAAACATTTTCAGTTTATTTTTTCAGTCTATTTATGTTGGCCGGTCTTATGGGTCTACGCAGTTGCAGACCTTGCAGAAATATGCATCTACATGGCCCTACTGGACATGCTCTTAAGGTGGTCAGAGCTGTAGCCTACTGAGTAGAAATTGTTCAGAGAAAATGCCTCAAACATTGTTTTGGGCTTGGGCTATTAGTGCTTGTCACTGGCCCTCCAAACTTTGACGGAGAGCTGAACTTTTGTCTTAGTTGATACAGTTGCATATTCTTTTTCTTTAAGTTTATTGGAGGCTGGGAAACAACAAACTGTGATTAGCAGCCAATCAGTGAACCAGCCACACAAACCCACTGAGTTTGATGACAGTCTGAATTATTTCATGACTGAAGCGTTCACACAGGAGGCATGAAAGAAAGAAATACACGGTGAAATTATTACATTCATTAATGCAGGTTTAATTAATATATTGGACATTTATTTATTCAGTTGCATATTTCATAAGTCCATTATGCATTTAAGTATTTATGGATGTTTTTATGATTTCATAATATGTTTAATTATTTACTTGTAGATCAAATGATCAAATTATGTTTTTAATAATTTCATTATATGTTTTATTAATTAACAGGAAATTTACAGGTCTGTATTTCATTATGTATTTACTTACTTCATGAAACAGTTTGATTAATTTAGTCACTTCTAACTCTCCACAGCTAAAGTTAGAATTCCTCTTGGAGAAACTTACTCCTTCAACCAATTAGAGCATACGTAAAGGTTACATTCTGGAAGGAAGACGTTCAGTACTAAAGGGAGCGCCCTTGTCAAAAGTTAAGACAAAAGGTAGACGTTAATTTGCCAGTAATGAAACTATGTAAAAATGTTTACTGTTGCTACTTGGGTATTTTTGAACATGTGCCATTCTGACATCTAGGTGACAATTTTTTTTCCGGAGGCTCTTGATGTTATCTTACCGACAAAGATGTTGTTTCTTTAATGGAATATTAATGTTACAGTACAGGTTTTGCCGCTTCTTATGAAATTTTACAATGCACAATGTGTTGTGGGGTTAGTCTTGAAGAAGAGCCACTTTGCTAACCGTTAATGTAATTTTAACTTTGCATAAGGCTTGTGGCCTTTACTTGGTTACGTCAATAATTGTTGGGATAAATGTTATCAGAGATCATTTCTTACACTTTAAAATATGGATAGATTGGTGCATGTCTTTTTTTCCTTTGAGTTGGTGACTTGATTTACTAAGAAACTTACCAAATGGCAGGGAGCACTTCAGCTCGATGGGACAAGACATTACTCTAAGCTGTACTGGAAGGATGAAAAGAAGTAGAGAGGTTTTATTCAGATACACAACTCTTCCTGAGTCGGTATAAGTAGATATATAAATAATGGAATTTAGCTAATGGAAAATCGTAGATGTTTTAGTGCTTAGTGGTCATGAGTTTTTTTTTTTCTTTTAATTTCTCTCTGTCCAGATTGTTATTCATACTTTAAACTTTCATGACTTGGCTTGATTTGATTATCCCATAGTAAATTATTTGGTTGTCGTTAATTTTATTCTGAGTTTAAAAAAAAAAGAAGGTATTATTGTCTAGATATTAAGATAATATGTGAGCATGATTACATATATTTAAGGCAGGGCAATTGTATTTGTATAGCACATTTTGTGTACAGGAAAATTCAAAGTGCTTTACAAAAAGTTAAAATGCAGAAAATAAAGATAAATCAAATAAACACGTTAAGTTTGGCTAAATAAAACAATCCCTGATTAAATAAAACAGTCCTTGATTAAATACATAGAAAGTGGAGAATGCGGATAAAATATATTCAATTGTCAAATGAACAGTTAAGTAAAACAGTTTTCAGCCTGGATTTAAATATTGTCAGAGGTCAGGCTTGTCTGACTTCCCCCAATTTTTTCTGTTCTTCTTTAAACTCTGTTTGATTTAGACTGTGTAAGAATTGCTCTTTCAGACTGGAAGTTTAAAAGGGTTTATATTATAAGAAGCGGGGGGAAACCATCCCATCCCTCTAAAGCCATCTCTATGAATGAGATTTCCCTCCCCACTATTTTAACAGACACCTATTGTTGTGGACACTGCAGTTTGTTCTAAACAATCCTCCCTTACAACACACTTCCTGACTAACATGTGTCATGCAATAAGAATAATTAACCGCTAATATGGTGTGGGAGAGGTCACCATGGAGGTCACACATCAAACAATTAGGTCACAGAGGTCATTCATCAAACTCACATCAAAAGGTTTTGACAGAACATGTCCATATTAATTTTTTTATCGAGTAAGAAACTTGTTTTCGTGATATTTTACATGTATTTTAAGTCAGTGAAAAAGAGCGATTGAGACGGTGCATACTGAAAGAGAGAGTGTAATATTAGTGCTGCTGAAGTGATTATAAGGTGATGTGTTGAGTTTTCATTCAAAACCTTATTTGGTAAATATTCCTTGCTCTCAGACATTTTAGATTTAATTCTTGTCAAAATGTAATCAAGCATGACTTTTTAAAAATATTGTGCAAAGTAAAAATACTTAAAAATATGAATGCATTGTGTTAAGTATAGTCATTACAAATAAATCAATGTCATGAATGATATATATCTGCTCTTGAAAGTGTAATGTTGACTACATGTTGAGAGTTTGTTCCTAACACAAGTTAAGGCTTCATTTTAAAATGAAATAGGTTTGAGAGTTAAATTTACACAGTATATGATCAGTAACAATTTAACTCTGAAAAAGGGTGAATACTCACATGGTTAAACATATACAAAATGGTCAACTATCAAATGGAGTTGATTTAAACTCACAGGGTATTTTGTTCCTGTTGTCAGAATTAGCTGTGAAGATATTAAATACCTTTACGGTCTTGTAAGTCTGAAAATTAGTCTGAGGGCAACAGTTATTGTCATTTAGGAGGAAACAAAAATCTCAGGGAGATAGATTCTACATACCTCCTGAAGAATGTTAATGGTCTTTGAAAAGAGTAAATTCCGGGTTCTATTGTTACTACCCTGGCTCAGGGGGTAGGAACAATGATGGGGAGACCACACAAAAGAAAGGTTTATCAATTTATTAAAGTAAATGAACGTGCTAGTGTAGGTCAGTGGTGTATGTAATGTTGGGGTGTATGAGGTGTGTGAAAGTGTACATGGATCAAACTAAACTAAAAGCTGGAGCAGGAGGTCAGAGGAGTCCATGGAGCACAGAGAGGGAAAGCCATGTGCTCTGGGCCAATTTATAGGAGGCCACTGCAGGTGTGGACTCTCAGGTCCGCCGCCCACTTCCTGGAAGCACAAACCAGGGGAGCACTCTCTCCACAATAAAGGTGGCCTTGGCCGTCACACTCCCCCCCAGAAGAAAAGGGCCCCGCAGCGGGACCTTCCAAAGAAGCCCGGGTCCAATTTCGCTGTACCTTTATGGCCATGATTGCCTCGGGACACGGGGTCACCACCTTGCTGTCCCAGAATAACGTAGCACGGTGGGTCAGTGAACGAAATAGATGTCCAGCCCAGTGATCCCCTTCTCCAGTCACAGTCTACTCAGCAACCCAGCGCCTGGGAGCAAATTAAGAGGAGAGAGAAGAGGTCTTAAATAGGGGCACGGGACAGGGCATCAGCCATGACGTTTTCTGTTCCCTTGATATGTTTAATGTCAAGGTGTTACGGCTGCAGGAACAGGGCCCAACGCATGAGCCGCTGGTTCGGGTTCTGGAGAGAGTTTAGAAATGTTAGAGGGAAGAGCTGTAAAGCCAATATTAAAGCCAGCGCTTCCTTTTCTATTACTGAATAGTTAAGCTGGTACGAATTAAAATTCTTGGAAAAGAAACTGATGGGATGGTCAATCCCCTGTTCATCAGCTTGTACGAGAACAGCTCCAGCCCCAACATGGCTGGCATCAACCTGCAGCTTGAACGGCTGAGTGAAACTAGGTGCAAGCAGTACAGGAGCTGAACAGAGAAGAGACTTTACATCTTCAAATGCTTTCTGGCATGAAGGAGACCAAATAAATGTAACTTTTGCTTTCAATAAATCAGTGAGAGGAGTGACTACACTTGAGAAGTTTCTGCAGAATGAACGGTAATAACCTACGAGCCCCAAGAACCTCATAAGTTCTTTTTTGGGAGTAGGCACTGGGAATTCTGAAACTGCTGAAACTTTTGCTGAGATAGGACGAACTTGACCTTACCCAACAACTTTGCCTAAATGGGTAACTGTAGCTTTAGCGAAATCACATTTTGCAAGATTCAGTGTTAGATTTCCATTGGCCAAGCGATCAAAAAGTGCCCGAATCTGGTTCAAATGTTCATCCCAACTATGGCTATAAACAACCACATCATCCAAGTAGACTGCGCAACCCCTCAAACCACTAACCACTTTGTTCATTAGACGTTGAAATGTTGCAGGTGCATTTCGTAAACCAAAACCCATTACTGTATAAGAAAACAAGCCTGATGGAGTTAAGAATGCTGAGATTTCCTGAGCTCCTGGAGTTAAAGCAACCTGCCAATAACCCTTGAGAAGGTCAAATTTACTCACAAACCGGGCGCTACCCACTTGGTCAACACAGTCTTCAACCCTGGGCAATGGGAAAGAGTCTGGTTTGGTAACTGAGTTTACCTTACGGAAATCTGTGCACATTCCAGGAGACTTGTCAGCCTTCTGCACAATCAAACATGGAGATGCCCAACTGGAGGAAGAAGGAACAGCCAAATTATTGTCAAGCATGTACTTAACTTCCTTATCAATGACCTGCCGCTTTTCCTCGGAGACTCGGAAAAACCTCTGGCGAATTGGCTTGGCATCACCCACGTCAATGTCGTGTTCTATTAAATTTGTCCTTGAAGGGGTGTCTCCAAACAAACAAGGGTACTCCTTAATTAGAGCAGACAACTGAAAGGCTTGATCGTTTGGCAAATGGGAAAGTTGCAAATCTACTTTTTGTAATGATTTGGAATTCTTAAGCCTACCACAAAGAATAGCTTCATCTGGCATTACACCTTCCTCCCCCCCATGAAAAGCTGGCTGCTGGATGGCACAGGCAGTCAGAACTGTATTAGGAACCGGAGCCTCAGCCGTGCATCGCAAAGACTCACGGAAAAAGTAGGGTTTTAGAAGGTTAATGTGGCAAAGGTGCTGACTTTTCCTTTGATCTGGAGTAGAAATTAAGTAGTTAAGTTCAGAGAGTTGCTTGATTACAGTGTAAGGACCATTAAACTTCGCTTGAAATGGTTTTAGCAACGCTAAAACCTGATCTCCCTCACTAAACTGACGCTTTTCTGAATGACGATCATAATGTGACTTAATTTTCCCTTGTGCTTTAGCCAAATTTTCTTTTGCCAATTGTCCAGCTGTGTAAAGACGATGTCTGAAACCATTAACATAATCCAACAAGTTTACAGGAGGTTTCTTTGTGGCCCAACTATCATGCAGTACTGCTAACGGACCACGGACTTTATGGCCAAAGACTAGGTCATTAGGGCTAAACCCAGTGCTTTCCTGGAAAACTTATCTGGCTGCTAACAGTAACCAAGATAACCGCTCTTCCCAATCTTTACTCAACTCTATACAATAGGATCGTAACAGCGATTTGAGAGTTTGGTGGAACCTCTCCAGTGCACCCTGGCTCTGTGCATGGTACGCTGAAGCCTGATTGTGCCTAATGTTGAGCTGATCCAAGACCTGGGCAAAGAGGTTGTCGTTGATGTCATCCAGACGACGTAGTGAATTTGGGCTAAGTCTTTCAAAAAGTTCTAAGTTCTTGGAAATGCAGTTGAAAAATCTTCAACATTGGTCAAAAAGAAGCAGAGGCAGCTGGGTCTCGGTCCAGTATGGTTTATTGGAGCAATACAAGTTCACCACACATGAGATGTTAACAAGGCTAACATCTACCCTATTGAGAGCGTGGCCTGCTTTTATACAGTCCCTTGGGGCCCGGTGGCCCCTCCTATTATGACGTATTTTCAGGTACTTTTCCTCCATTATATCTGTTATTCCGGTTTCTACCGGTGGAAGTTCACCCAGAGTTCGTACCTACCCATGGTTTCTAAGGTGATACACCTCCCATACCACTCCTTCTTTAGTAACTACCCATGGTTTCTAGGGTGATACACATTTGTTTGCATTGACCCTCAGGTTACCCCATATGGTACATTTCATTATTGCATTCCTACTGTTTCTTGCACTTACAGGCACTTTAGTATAGTTTGACCTCTGGACCAAGGTTTTTTCCACTGCCACACTTTTTTTTTTTTATACAATTCTTTTCCTCCTTGATATATGTTAAGGCACACTATTAATTATTATGATGAGAATACATTCATTGTGAGATATTGATCCACTACAAGTTGAGACGAAAAATTTGATCCCTGATCGATCTTTGGTATTCCAAAAATGCCAATAAATTGAGACAATGCCTTGACAATAGATTTGGCAGTAATATTGCGAAGTGCATAAGCAGCTGGATAGCAAGTAACCAAACACATTACAGTGAGCAAATATTGAGATCCTGACTTAGATTTTGGCAAAGGCCCCACACAGTCAATTATTAAATGTTCAAATGGATTTTCAACAGGCGGTATTGGACGAAGCGGTGCTGGTTTTATCGACTGATTAGGTTTACCAGTTATTTGGAATGTATGACAGGGCTTAATGTAAGCTACAACGTCACGTTTAAGACGAGGCCAAAAGAAATAACGGAGGATATGATTGTAGGTCTTCTTAACTCCTAAATGACCTGTCCGATCATGAGAAATTGACAAAACCCTCTGCCTGAATTTAACCGGAACAACAATTTGGAAAATTGGATTGGGGAAGCCATTTTCGAACGAATACCTCATCTTTTAGAAAATACCCAGATGCCGAACTTTGAATCTCCAAAACAGATTTCACTTGTTCAAAAAGGTCACTCAACGAACCATCTGCTTTTTATTCAGACACAAGTTCCTGCTGAGAAATTGAAAAAAAGTCAGGTAAAACAAGTTCACAACTATTAACTTCAGGTTTGAAAGACGTAGTCTTGGTCATGGCCCTGGTGACCACACAAGCTGTGAACACTTCTGGAAAATGCTGTTCACAGTCGTCTGGTTCCTTCAGAGCTGAAATTTTAACAGGAAAACCAGTAGCCCAAACCTGATTCACAGCCAAGTCATACCCTAAGATAACATCTACGCCCCTCTAAAGGAAGAACTGGTCTAACAGCAATACGGACATCTCCTTTGACAAGACCACTAGAGAGAAAAACCTTATGCGAATGTAGTGGTATAGAAATATAGGTATTGCTATACAAATGGCTTTCAGGTGCGAGGTTCCGGTTGGGCAAAGTGGGCGTGGTATATAAGAAGCTGCTGCACTCAATCTGACACACATGTCTTCCTCAAGCTTGGGCTGTGATTTGCGTCTCAGGGACTGACAGTCAAAAAGCATAACATCAGGTGCATGCTGCTCTGATCTCGTGGTGGTAGGTCTCCCCTCTCTTTGTACTATTGCTGCTTGTTCACAGAAGATCTAAATCCAGGTGTGATCATAGGCAAAACGCTACTATGCGGCTCTCCTCCTCTTTTTGCGGCTCTCCTCCTCGTCGTCGGTTTGTGTGTGTGGCGCACACATGAGTTTGTCTGGATTGGAGGTAAGAAGTAACGCTCATTGTTAGCGCCAATTGGTTGCAGTTCTGTTAGTAGTGACTAATTACCTTTTACAGGTCTCCCCATATTACCATTGCTGCTCTGTTGATATCCCGGATTCTGCGCATCATCAACCTCGAATTGAAGCAGTGTTTGGCGTGCGGCACCGGCGCGCTCAGTTTACTTGTTGCGGTGCGGCCAGAGGGTCGCACCAGATTCAGATATTTTAATGTGTTTCCTTTTTTTATTCTTGTTCCAGCCTTTTTGGTTTGATATAATTATTTAGGCTGATATTGTTTTCTTTTTGTTGTACATTTTGGATTGTTGCCCCTATCAATTGTTTTTCCCTTTGTTGGCAGTGCTGAGGCCCGGCGGCGGTGTTGGTGTGGTAACGGTCTTCTTTTTTTTCGTGTGCCGTGATTCCTGAGTTTGGGTTGTCTCACTGCGTCTAGTGCTTAACAAGGGTTTTGTTTGCTGTGTTACCGTCCTATAGTGGCCCCGTTCCGCCGGTCACCTCAGCAACTGTAGTTACTTTTCTTTTTCTCCCTTTAGTATTATAAAGAACTGCTTTTAAAAAGAATATTTACAAAGCATCTAATAAAAGGTTTTTTTTGTACATCGTAACATTGCCTCAGATGTCTTAATCTACGCATGAGCGAATTTATGTGTCCTGTCAAAAAGGGGAGTAATATTCCTTGGGTGAAATTCCCAAGGTGGCGTTGTTGAGTAATTTTATTTGGGGTCAGAAATTTATAATTTCCCGACTTCAATCTAGTCTCGCCACACAAAGAAGCACTAAGTGGAACTAAACTAACACCTCGAACTATAACGCATTCAGCAGTATCAGTTTCCTTGGAAAACGGCAATACTGAAGCCCTCATAAATGAATCTGTTGCCCCTGTATCCCTCAAGATTTTCACAGGCACTTTCCTGCCATCTCCACTAAGGGACACGAAACCATCGGAAACAAAAGCTTCAAATCCAAAGTAACCTTTAACCTTCTCACTGGAAACTGAAGAGGTCTTGACTTGTGCTATGAAAACTGCAGGATGAACACTTCTGCCACTAAAATTACCACCCTTAGATTTCAACACAGGACATTCAGATTTCCAATGCCCTCTCTCAGGGCAGTAGTTACAGAACTGCTCAGAACTCTGAGACTTTTAAAAACTATTAGGCTCAGAACCCTCAAACCTCTGAAATCTGGCGGAGTTATTAACAGGTCTGGCTGGAACAAAAACTTCTCCTAGGTTTAACTTTATGAGACAAGAAATACTCATCTGCTGTCGTAGCTCCTTCAGAAACTGTCTTTAGGCCACGTTCAACTATGTGAGTAGCAACTTCTGGTGGGACACAATCTATGAACTGCTAAAGAACAATCAAATCACAAAGTTCCTCATAAGTCGAAACATCCAAAGCCAAACACCATCGCTGAAAATGCCTGGTCAACTCTCTGGCAAACTCAACATGTGACTGGTTTTCAGACTTCCTCCATGACCTAAACCGTTGTCTATAAGCCTCTGGAACCAATTCATAGAGACGCTTATCCCTGCAGGATATTTTGGACGTCCAACTCCGCCCAACCAACGTCCAACTCCGCCTAACTCCGCCCATCCAAGACTCTGCCTTTTTTGATGACGTCATGCGACTACGAGTTTTATTAGGCGCAAACAAACTTTACTGGCCATAGCGAATCGGCAAACGAAGCGAAGCCTTAAAACGAACGATGTCGGTAAGTGAAAAATACATAATTTTATGTTCATGTTGACGATATTACTGTGTTGACCCTGCTGGATGAAATATTTATGATATTTGATGTGACCATCTAGTTTATTGTGTTCATTAGTTTTTTTGCCCGAAAAAGTAGTTGTTTTGTAGAGTACCTTCAATTTAATGTTAGCTAGCGCAAGGCCCTGTTTTGTTTTACTTAAAGATGTTTCTTGTGAAATTGAGTTTATGCAATATCCATCCCGTGATGTCAAATGAACATTACAGAACGTTATCATTTTTGTGTCACGAAAGTATGCAAGATTAGTAAAAGCCAGTGAGTGAAAATGATTTCGGCTTGAGAAATATAACGTTATTAGCCTGCTAACATTAATTACACATATCAGTATACTTAGCAAAGTTGCTAGCGGTTTAACTTGTTTAACACAATGTCCATTTACAAAAGTTTTGACTATGTTGGCGAACAGTACAGCTTATTGTCATGGATAATAATCATTCATATTTTTTAAAACTGTACATGCACAGAAAAAGAAAAATGTTTTGGTCAATGTTTGTCAGCAGACCAGCTCGATGAATCTTCAAATGTTTAAGGCATGTTTAAGCCTTGTAAAGAACCACTATGATGATTAACGCATAATGCATGATTTGATCATGTTTTTCAGCATTCAACACACTTTAAAGACCGTCCAGCCATTCAGCAGTACCTCAAAGACGGCATATTCAAATGCCCCTGCTGCAAATTCTCTACAGAGGATAATTACAAATTATCATATCATATTGATAATCACCTTAAACATGCTGTGCATCATGCAGGTAGGGTTGCAGACATGGATGTGGTTTGTTTTACACCACAACTATGTACAACTACTTCAGTTCTATGAGTTATTTATAAGTGGTTTTGTTTCTGTTTTACAGAGTATGACATTTGCAAATGCAACCTGCAGTGCAGGTCAAATGCACACTACCACTGTCTGTATTGTAATCAGACAATAATCAGGAAAGACCATTTTACTACACACTTAAATCTCTGCAGCTCCAAAACGCCCCTTTCTTCTTCTGCTTCCCCCCATCAATTGGCCTCCAGCATTGCAACGACCAGTGCTCCACCATCTCCTGCCGCCTCCCCCCATCAATTGGCCTCCAGCATTGTAACGACCAGTGATCCACCATCTCCTGCCGCCTTCCTTGTGCCCTCCAGTGCACCACCACACAAGAGGAGGAAAAAAGAATCCGTCATGTGTCCACATTGTGCCATGACAATGGACAGGAGAAATATGAGACTGCACATTGAGAGGAAACATAAGCCTAAAGGAGTAGACATTACAGCAACTAAGCATTTGAAATCCCAGGCAATAGATTATAAAAATGGAATATTTTCTGTGGTGAAGTCATTTTTAGGACCCAACACTCCCATCCATGTGGTAAAAAGGACTTGGGGGAAGGAACAGTCGACCAAATGTGAGCTTGATGTCTGCAAAATCAATGCAGAATTTGCTGAACGCTCAAATTGTAGACCTTTTGAGTGTCACCACATCCAGTCACTTGTTTACTGTCCACCATTCAGAGGTGAAAACCCCTCTCTCACTGAAGATGTACTGCAGGAGATGGTGAGTGAGAAATGGTTTGGAGAGGACAAGAAGGAGAGATGTCTGAAACGCCAAAGGGAGGCTACAGATGCAGGAACACCTCTGTCCTGTAAACTCTCAATTTGCAATCCCTCAACAAAGAGGTTTATTTCCATTTATGAGCCTACTGTATCATATTACAGTAGGCTTGGACGAATTATGGTTACCTTTGACACAAAACAGATCTCCTGGCACTGTCCTTGTGCAAAGCCAAGGCAGTCTTGCCTGCACAAATATATTGCAAAGTGGCACCTGTTTCAGTTTGAGCGTGCACTTTTTCAGAGGACACAAAGTGTGGAGGAAGAACTTGTTCAAAACCGTTTCCCTACAGAAGTGGAAGGTGGCGAGGAAGAGGAAGAGGAAGGAGGCCACTACCCACCAGAGGGAGATGTTTTAGAAAAAATGGTGCAGTACATATACCACCACAAGAGAATGCCCTCTGTACTAGACACTAATATGGTAATGTCAGAGAATTTCCCAAGGTTGTATACCCCAGCTGAAACATTCTGCCCTGAATGTTCTGAGGCAGCTCTGCTTGGGGAACCGGAGCTAATAACAACCAAGGGCAGAATCCTCACTGTGACAGTTGTTATTGAAGGTTTGTCAATTTATTTCCGTCAGGATTGAACAAGTATCTATCTATCTATCCATCTATCGATTGATCTTAGGGTTCATTGCATTTTTTATACATTGTAATTATTTGTATTTGGCATAAACTGCCTGGTTACGCCTGTGAAACATCCTGTATTTGCCTTCATCAGGAATTTCGTTGTTCAGAAAGCAGTGCTACACATGTGGGATGATGTACCGATATCAGGAGTGGTCAGATGGTGTCTACAATTTCGATGACAAAACACTCCTGTCCTTGCTCCTCTGTCTCTTTCTTCGGAACAGTCTTCAGGTAGGAAGTATAATCTCTTTCGATATCCTCTAATTAACTTGGGAGTTGTTTTGCATTCAATTACCTCAGTTCTGTCCATTCTGGCTTGTATTGGTGTAGACTGGCTGAATGTGTCTTGTATGAATGAATGTTTGAAGCTAACTGGTTTGACTGTGTTTATCCTGATTTTTCAGACCCACCAGGCTGTAAGTAGCACCATTGAGGTTTTAGAGAGAACCTATGGCCAGACCTACCCCTCAAAAAACAGAATTCTGCACGCCTACCTGGCATTCGAAGCGCTTTGTGATCATGAATACACATATGCATGTGTGTCATGTGGCCATAACCCAGTATCTGTTGTGATGGACCTTCATAAAAAGGGTGTCTTCAATATGCCTGGTAAGCTCATGTCTGTTCCATGGAAATGATTTCCCGTGGGTTTGTACCAAGTGAGTATGTAGACATTGATTACATTTTACTGTTTATCTAGCAATAATGTTAGCAACCTAATTATATTTCCGTTTATTTAAAGGCAACAAGGCCAATCCTTTCATTGTCAGGCCAAGTTACAAGTTCTGGGCTCCATGGATAGGGCCTCACACAAGGAGGGTAAGTGTGGTCCTAAACACGGAATACAGAAAGATACATTCACCACACAGTGCAAATGAGGAGGTGGAATTGACTGTGACAGAGGACCGTCTTAAAGATGAGCTCCTGAAGTTAAAGGTATGGATCCCAAATTCTTTTGTGTGTCTGTTAACAAGGATACCACGTTGTGGCCAAAAGTGAAGTAGTATTTGTTTACTGCATTAAAAAAATTGCTAATGTCCATTGTAGATGGAAGCTGTGCGTTCCTTGTGCAGGCAGTGTGGGATTGACCCTAAGGGGTCACGTCTGGACTTGATAATAAGACTCCAGACGGAGATGAAAAACCGTGCATCATACGACAAGGTGTTTTCACATGTCTGGGGTGCTTCTGGTAAGATTGGTAAAATGCAGTGATTTGAAAGTTTGAATATGTTGAAGACATTTGCTTGGAGTAGTTAAGTTATTGTATGTCCTGTTTTCTTTGACAGGTGGCTGGGCAGTAGTCACATGCCCATGTGCTGTGGTGTATGCCGTGAAATTTAACCTGAGAGCTGAAAGCCCTAGGGACTTCATTGACCTCTTATTGTCAATGAAGCACTTCTCCAACATCACACTTTATGACTTTGCACGAGGATTGGCAACACATGCCAATACCAGGCTGCCAGGAACATTCAGACCACATGATGGACGGCTGCTGGAGCCCACCCCGACAAATATTTCTCTTGCCAGTTCAGGGCAAGTCAAAGCCAATTTGCCGTGGCTAGCGCAGAAAAAGGAGGTTCCTGATTTTAACGGCCACCCTATCACCGGGTCATCAGAGCGTTATGCTCTGTATGACAGATTTCATGAAGCCAACACTAAAGATGCCAGAGATGTATTGCGAAGGGTCGATCTCGCCCCAGAATTATGTGACTGGCTGAACAGTCAATGTGCCGAACAGCTGTTCTCGGGGATGAGAAAACAATTATTTTTTAAATATGATGACTCCTTCCTCTCACATGTTTTTGATGAGGAATATATTACATCATTACAACACAGCAAAGAAT